AATCACAGTTTCAATTATCCTGAAAAAGGCAGAATTTTTAAAGTACCATAGCTTAAGTTCCTCCACAAAGAAGATATCCTGCCTTATTCTGCCTAGCAACCACTAAGTCTGTAGTTTAGATTTGGACAAAAATGGTCTAAATCTGATTTTTGTATTAATTTCTCAGTTAATATTTCAGCCAATTCTTTGAGACGCGTTTAAAATTTTAACTTTGAACAGAACACATTTATTTAAATCGCACAACTATTTGCAATGCCAGTGCTTGTCAAACTCCTTGTCAAACTCCTCTAACACTGCAGTACAGAAAATTATACATTCAGTCTGCAGCCTCAGTGCTGGTAAACACTGTAGCCACAAGATGGTTGGAAAAGTCACTGTCGATCTACAGCAGCAAACTCACATTACTACTACTACTACTACTACTATGACTACTACTTTCAAATATTCAATATAGATGGACTGCTGAAGGACACAGTATCAGTACGGTATAAACTCCATCCTTCAAACATGAGCAAACAAATGTACAGATTGTAGTTGTGGTTCTAAAACTGGGGGGGATAATTTATCTAGTTTAAGTAAAAAGGTCACATTTTTATCATTTGAGGAGTTAATTACTGGGTCTGTAACGTAAACTGTAGATATAAATGGACATAGCTAACCCACTGGCTGCTGTGTTCCAAATAGCAAGAATTTACGGGTGAACTTCGAGCTCCATTGACTCTAGTTCCAATTCACTTTTGAAAAAAACATTGCCCTTGTCTCTGTATCTGCTGCTGTCAGGCTTCTCATTTTGGTCTGGGTCCTGGTGTTTTTATTTCGCTATTTTGTCTGTAAATCAATTCCTAAATTCCTAAAATGAAACTAGACTCCAAATTCGCTCCTATTACTGCTAGACTCGTCACACTCCCTTAAGTCCACTTCTTTATACAGTCCAGAGCGGCACAGCTTCTCTCAGAACTCACTTTCCTTTTGCGAAACACACATATTTATCTATATCGTTCATAGTGAAAGAGGGTAGAGTTTTCAGTGTCTCAGAGAGTTTACCCTGCTGTTTTACAATCACAGGTGTATCCTATCCAACACACCCAAAATACATGAAATTGCATCATTTGAAAAAGCCACAATTGTGTGACTCAAAATGCTCCACTTTTGTCAGTCAACAGCTTCCTGCTCATTGTTGGCTGCTGCACTGGCGCATCACTGACACATTTCTGTTTTTGAAAGCACTCGGGCATCCGGCATCAAACACATCAAACGGCGTATCTCAAGGACATCCAAATATCGCCGGAACACAAGAGAGCACCCACTCCCGTCTCCATAGCAACTGCCTCAGGCCCGTCCCGCTTCACGCTGCGTGTCCATGAGCCCGACCTCCGACGGTACCCGTGGCCCCCACAATATCTCTCCAGTCAGTTCATCAAAACCTCGGTGGGAATAAACTGGATTTGCGATGTCTGGTGGCTGCCTTATCCAGCGGCTTCACATAACAAGATTTCAGGGTAGAGTCGGGGTGTTGTAAATGTCAGTCCACGTCCAGAAGAGCCAGAGAAATGTCAGGATTGTGTTTTGGTCCAGTGGTCGAGGTGATTTTTTTTCGAAGGATATAGGCCTAGTTGTGTTTGACAACCTCAGAAAGATGTTTTTTTTTCGTAAACATGTTTTATTTATAGCGATGAAACTGGCTGTTTAGACTATGAAAGTGAAAAGTAGAGGACACTAACCTCAGGGACCTCTTGGGGCTAAGAGCTTGGTTGCCATGGTTACTGTCTGGTTCCTGAGAAGAAAACTAGTAGCAAAAAAAAAAAAAAGTCTGCAAAAATTATTCAACTTTTTTTTTATTTCTGTGCAAAACTGAAATTATAGTTGATAGCTGAAGATTACGCAATTTCAGATTTTAATATTTGTCACAGGAGATTTAATCATAACTATGACCAGAACCGTACTGTGGGCAGCCTGGCATGGGCAATGGGTAACAGCAGTCCACCATAAGGAAACCCAATTTCTATATTTCGTGCCAAGATTTTGGATTAAACTGCAAGATTGTTCCTAAATGCCTGTTTTAGTTTGATGGTGGAAATCAGTGCGCTCATCCACCCAGAAACAGGGAGGAGATGCAAACTCCATACAAAAAAGGCAGCACCAGTCCAGGAATCTCAATCTGGACCATTTTGCTGTGAGGTAAAAGCGATCTCATCAAGTATATATTTTTTTTCTATTTCCATGAATCATGCAGGTGATGTTCCAACTTCAGAAAGTCCCACGTTGCGGTTAGAATTTGGTTATCTCTAGGTCTGTGTATTAAAATATTTCCTTCCTTCCTGTCAGATTTTCACACTTGTGCGTTTATGTTCCTGACACATCACGCGCCCACACACTGATATTAATTTACACATTTAGACTCTCAAGGTCCATTCTGTTCATTCTAACCTTCCGACACCTGACCTCTTACCCTCTCACAAAACAACTGGGTACATATAACAACAATAATAAAGTTTCCATGTGCGCTCGGCTGGCTGTGTTAAAGGGCAGCGTACTTTTATGTGAATGTACCTTGCGTCTCCGTGGTAACAGGTCCGTTAGTGAGTACAGCTGAGGTCCGTCTGTAATCCACCCTCGCCTTCTGTGTCTGCTACTTTCATTATAGGGCCCTTCTCAGCACAGAGTACACACATCTTTATTTGATACCAGAGCAACCAGAATGAAATGTGCCGGAAAAATAGGCGACGAGGCGAGCAGATGAGTGAGACGTAAAATAGAGGGAAAATAAGTTGTGGGTTTGTAATAACACTGTGTGCAGCTAACCCCGCACAAACATTACACCGAAAGACATTATCATAAAAACACAATTTATTCCTGCGTCTCCATGTTCAGAGATGTGGGTGACAAGTGCGTTTCCAAACAACTAAGCTAAAAGCACGATGGTGATGATGGTGCAAGATTGCGGATTGATAAAAATCTTGAGACATGAGTAAAAAATAAGTGACTATAATATTGCCCACTCACTGCTTCGTTTTAGATACTCTAGGGTCAAAATTCAAGTATGATTTTGATGTTTGATATATTATATGTTTGTTTTTGATACCACATGATTAAAAAAACACTACTTTTTTCAGATAAACGCATGTAATAATTCAGCACAAAAATGACGGTAGCTTCTTGAATATTACCACGTGGTCTTATACAAGTTCAAAACATTTTCTAATTTGTATGTAACAGTATAAATACAAAAATATACCAGTTTTAGTATCAGCTAGTATCTGGGCATATATAATTAAATCATTACTTATATTGCATGTGTTAGAAGTGTTTGTAAAGTGTGTGTAAACAGTTTGTAAAGTGTGTGTAAAGCATGTGTGAAATATAAAGTGTGTAGTGTGTGTAAAGTGGCTGTAAAGTGTTTGTAAACCGTGTGTACAGCGTGTGTAAAGTGTGTGTACAGTGTGTGTGAAGTGGCTGTAAAGTGTTTGTAAAGCATGTGTAAAGTGTGTGTGTGTGTAAAGTGTGTGTGTAAACAGTTTGTAAAGTGTGTGTAAAGTGTGTGTATAAAGTGTGTAAACGTGTGTTTGTAAACCGTGTGTACAGCGTGTGTAAAGTGTGTGTAAAGTGTTTGTAAACCGTGTGTAAAGTGTGTGTACAGTGAGTGTGAAGTGGCTGTAAAGTGTTTGTAAAGCATGTGTAAATTGTGTGTTCATTGTGTGGCTGTAAAGTGTAAAGTGTGTGTACTCCCTGCTTATTAAGTAATATAATAAGTAATACAAGTGTATTAAGTAATGTAAGTATATTACTTATTATATTACTTATAGAATGTATTATTACCATGTATAATTTTGCTCTTTGTTATTCTAAGATACTGTGATGTGTGGGAAACTGTGACCAAATTCTAATGTCAATAAAGTGTGTCTAAGTGTGAGATACTGCAGGCCTACAAAGGAACAAATTAATAATTTGAAAAGTAAACATTATAAAACAAACTGTGTTACTAGCCTACAAAACAGCAGGTGACCTTTATGTCACAGCCGTCTCCTATAAAACACTGTGATAATGCAGAGATGTGTTGGTTAAGCTCCAGCATTGTTCCTTGTACATGAACCAACATCTGTTCTGCCCGGGCTTACAGCAGCTCCACATCTGCCAGCAGAGACTGACCTGCATACTCAGTCTAGCAAAATATCCTATTAAGATTTTATGAAATGATTATGCAACACATTTAGACTAATTAAACTGTCAAGCTCGAAAATCTGCATTGTATGATTTTGATGGAATTAATGATGCATTGTGTAATATTTCTGGTGGAGGGTCGGCCGTCTGCATTTCTCCATGGAGATTAGGGGTGTGCAAAAATATTGATATATCGTTTCATGTGCTGATACAGTGTCGATATTGGGGGCTTGTCAAAGTGCTACAGTTTTGTTGATTCTTTAGACAAAAGAAACTCGTTCATGCAGCACATTTGAGATTTCCTCTGTTTTTATGATTAAAAAGGGTATGTTTCATATGATCTTTCACAAGAAGTGGTTTAAAAAAGACCTAGTATGACAGCCATGATTTAGCCATTATTTTTTATTGAATTGTATCAAATCGATTTGAAATATACCATATTGAATCAAAAGCTCATTGTATCGAGATATGTATCGCATCGTGGCCTGTGTATCGAGGTATGTATCATACAGGCATCTACTTAATGATACCCAGTCTTAATGGAGAGGTTATTACTTTGTGTAAATATGTCACAGTATGGCATTAAAACTTTCTATCATCATCATGAAGACCAAGCCAGGCCAAGTTACTGGTCAGATCTGTGGAGAGGCGACCCCGGCGCTCACACTCAGAATGGCTGTTTTTCTAGATATTTTTGAGCAATAAAATCACCTGTAACTGAATAAATGTAAGGTAGACCAGTTTAATGTCACAGTGTGAACCAATTGAAGCAGGTGACCAAACCAGTACCAAAAAGTTACATAGTGCACCTTAAAAAAAACAAAACAAAAACACATTAACAGTAAGGTTGGACAATGTTTTATTGGCATGTAAATGAAATCACTGGAACTGAAATATTTCTGGGATGTTACGTTGTTATTAAAGAACCAAATGTGATTGATTTAATGTCGTCTGCACTTAAATGTTCTGATCTCAGTAATAAATACACTGGACAAAGATAACATACAGTTTTGTAAGTGCATCAAAGGTGCACCGCGCAACATTTCTGGTGGAGGGTCTGCTACCTACTTATCTCCATGGAAACATTATTGCTTTGTCTAGAATGTTCCACAGTATAAATTAAACCTATCTATCAGGAGGGAGACAAACAGCAGTACACTACATTATATTCACAGTAGGAATGATTGTATTTTTGAGCAACAGACACACCCAGAATAAATAAATCCTAGATAGACGTGTTTAATGTCATACCATGGAACATCCCGGGCAGAGCAATAACATCACCATGGAGACAAGCAGGTAGCGGACCCTCTACCAGAAAAGTTGCGCAGTGTACCTTTAACAGTTTAAGGACTATATATACACACCAGAATGCTTTACAGCCTATCAGTAATATTTGGCACCTTGGCCTGAATGTTGTTTTTACACCAACTTGCTGCCTCCATGACAGAGGCTGATAACTGTACAGAAAGCAACGTAAGTACATCTTATAAATAACTACCCCAGGGCATTCACGGGAACTGGCTATTTATACGTTGAACTTTTGACACAACTTTCTATGTATTGTGATACCCAAAAAATGATAGTCACATGTTAAAAATGTTTTGAATCCTTTTATAAACTGGTTTCCGCTGACAAAAACTTAAAAAAAGCACCCTAAATAACATTTTTTGGTAGTTATTGAAGATTGTATAGGAAACTTGCCTTTCAAATGTCAACCAGAACAAAATCGCCTTTCCCTATAGTGTTTTTATTTCTGTTAATATAATCATTTAATGTAGCCAGGTCCCTAATGGAAACATAACTATCCATGGGTTTCAGAGTGATGGAGAAATTAGTGCTGTTGCCATAGCGATTAACAAACACAATATCTTTTGAATGGAGAAAAAGTCCCCAAAAAACATACTCCTATAACAGGAAGCTGAAACCCATGAATAGACATACTTTCTGAGTGAGCTTGTACTAGATAGGCCATGTTAGGAAGTTTTCAATTCCCTGTCAGGATTTTTCCGTTTACGCGAGTGCCATGCGTTGCGGTTGCTCCAGGTTGGCTCTGAACTTATCAAGAAAGCGCGAGGCCAATTCATCATCGACCAGCCGTCCGTCGCTGGACAGTGTAACGGTCATGAGCTGCCGTGTCTGGATGCTCTGCTGGTCCTCGCTCAGATGCAGTTCCTTCCTGGATGTGCCCACCGCGAGGATACAGGCCTGAGGGGGGTTTATCACCGCGCTGAAGCCGCTGATGCCGAACATGCCCAGGTTCGATATGCTGCAGGAGGGAGGAGGGAGAAAGAGAGAGTTTGTGTTGACACCTGGCAGCTGATGTCAATCAAGAGTCCCTGGAGGTGTGATGTTAACTGTAGGAACTCCTCTATCTTTTGTTGAAAACTGAACATCTTAACAGGACCATGAACGCTCGTATTGATAACAGGATTCTGAAAATGTGTTGTTTAAATCCATTTTGTAGTGTAATTGTACATATTTTCGTGCCTAATCATTTTGGTATGGGATGTTCGGTTCAGTGCAGGGCTGTGCATGAGTGAATTTGTCCAATTTGTGTGTGTTTACATTCTGTCACTACATGTGCAGCTAAATGGAAGGTTCAGCTCTTTAATATTCATGAGGGAACTCGTCCCTGATTGAGGTGGCAGTGCTTCCTGCAGTGCTTTATAGTTAGGGTGGCTACCTTCACAACTGCCCCCCGCATTGACTACGTGTCCCTTTGAACCACGTGAAACCTTGCAAACCCCCCCAGATTGAGTAACACTTCATGCTGGAACTGTTAGTGTTGCACTTTACTTTTTGAAGTTTTGTTTACTGTTTAGAAGGAATTAGTATTACCAAGCAGCACTTTCCATTAATTTTATTTTCCCATTTGTAAAATGTTAAAACAAATTGTTGGTTTAATAAACACACAAATAAACAACAAGCAAATGTTTTTGTATTTTGTTCCCATACTGTATCGAATATGAACCAAACTGTGACCTCAAAACTGAGGTGGTTTTTGTGTACCATTACACCGCTACCATTTTTTTTTTTTTTTTTGTATTCATCTCAAAACATTTTTGACCATGTTTGCTAATGTGTCCATTGTGTCACCATGCTAAAAGATAAAAATTCCAACATAGAGATACATGTAAAGCCACGTCATGTTGGGAGCAACATGACGTCAAAGCAAAAATGACCAGTAGTCTAATAATATTCATTAACTGGACAAAAGTATTAGACTGACATATCTATCTGAAGGTAGAGCCCACCCCCAATCTGACCAAAACTGAAGAAGCTGCTTGGCTGAGTGGCGAAATGTCTTCACTTTAAAACTTTTGTCCAGTTTTTCTTTTGTTATTTATCACAGCTTGACGTTTGATGGATTACACAGGCAATATTCTTTTATATCTGCCTAACTCTAAACCAATATCCTGGTAATAGTACCCATATATTTTTTGTGTAAATCCTCATAATGGACAGTTTTGGTTCTGTAGCACCCGTACCATGAACGACATAATGCTTTAACACCAGAGGAAGTGCTGGCTGGTGAATACTATAACGTTGTTTAGTGTACCCTGGAAACACTCCACAGACGACTTGAAGATAAGTGTATATGAGGTGAGCGAGTCTGACCCTGGAGCCCAAGTCTGCTGTTCACCTTAATGAGAATCCTAACCCGGGGGACTGACGAATGAATAGATCAGGAGTGCGTATATGTTCCCTTGAGCGCAAAGAGGCGCATTTCCATAAGAAATCATCGCCTCTGCCTGACACAGAAACCCCATTCAAGTCCAAATGATGCTATTAATTCTAATGAGTTGAAACGCCTGCCTTCCACTTTTCCAACTGATGGCACTGTAACTGATAGTCTGTGTCTCACTCGGGCTGGAATAAAATGCAGAATAAGGCAAAATGAAATCATAAAAGTGGATATTTATTCCAAGTGGCTATTTGTTTCTTGGTAATGGTTATGCAAAACGCAGCAGACAAAGATGGAAAGATTTACCTGAATGAACCTCCCTGGTATTCTTCAGGTAGGAGCTTGCCGTCTCTGGCCTTCTGAGCCAAGGTCTATAGAAAGAAATGAAATGAGAAATGAAACTTTAGCTTAACAGTTTACTAATTGTAAAAAGACAAGAACAAAAATAAAAACATGTCATCATCAACATAAAGAGTTATAAGTGTAGAAAATTTAGCTTTTAGTGATATATACACTCTGGTCACTCTTAGGGACGGGCATGATTAGTTGATTAATAAGAATTCCGTCGATCACGTTCATTTTAAAACGACAAACTGAATGTAGGTTACTGTGTGTAGCATAGCATAAGGAGATGGGGCTGTGACAGCGCAAACACTGGAGTTGCGGCCTCACAATCCCATGTTTCGGCTCTGGCACACCTCCTGTATCACTGAGGTCACTGTACCACTCAGTGAGTGTGTTTACATGCACATCAGTGTCTCAGGTATGAGCGGGTTTTTTGAGTACTCCGGTTTCGTCATGGTGCATGTATCACAATATAGTTACTGCAACAAGAGGTTGAGTGCGCATGCGTCCAAAAGTCAAACACTTGTCTTTTCACCACAACAGTATTCAAAATAAATAAATCAACATAAAGTGAGTGAAAAAGAGCTGAGCTAAGAGCAGCACTTTTAGTTTATGCAAATTAGCCATGTGGTTTTAAGTTTTGTTTCTGATAAATGTAAACAAATGTGTCAAAGCTGCATTAAACACATTATAATCTCAAACGGGAGATGTAGCTCTATAGTGGTTATGGTTTATATGTTGTAAAGTTGAGTTTATTTATGCAGATTAGTAATAGTAATAATAATGCTGATAATTTGAATATAAAAACATTAATAATTAATCGAAAATCGATTGTTAATTCTCCAGACGATCGACCCTAGACACTATATATTAAGATAGATTACTACTACATCATTTACATATTTCATACAGTTCGTGGTTAAGCATACATTTTGTAGGAAAAGTAATTTGAAAAGGCAATTGTCTATTGTTTGTTGAATAAGGAACAAAAGCAAAGTTATAAATCAGATGTGCCAGTTGGACTGAGAAGTAACAACAATAACAACAATCACCACAACAATTAACAACCCTGTGCGGTTTAAAAAAAATATTTATTAATGTGCCATATAGAAACTGCCTGTGGTGTTTATGTCTAGACTAGGGGTGTTCAGACTTTTTTGATCAAGGGCCGCATATCAAAACACAGATCAAGGTGATGTCCGATCAAGGGCCAAAACAGTGATTCATTTAAATATGTGCATTTACAATTGGTAATAAAGAGTCACCGGCCTTTTGAAAACATTTAGTTAAAAGTACTACTTATGAGCCAATTCACCCGCACTGATAAAACACTGATGAAGTTTATTAGACAGATGATTAATTCGATTTTTTTCACACAAATTTGATTAGGTAATCTATATAAAGGACAATGGTTTTTTGACTTTATAACTACCTATCAGAAACCAACTTGAAACCTCATCAAGCAGCATCCAGCTCAACACAAAGCAACGAGATAAATGGAAACCAGTGGAGTGTGCACTGTCAGAATGAGGGAAGGGAATAGCCAACACCCAGTTGCGAAGTAGAGCACTTTGAGACATGTTATCAGAGGCAGCTTTGGTGAATCCATAAACAAGAGCACGACAAGCTGCATCAGTCGTTCGGTAATGGCAGAGTCTGGTAGTGGAAAAATATGAGTAACCAGTAACCATGGAAGTCAGAAAACAAAACCCATATTTAGGCTTGGAATCTGCAAGAACTAAAATAATCTTATAGTCATGTTCTGCCAATCTAAATATGCTGAAAAAGGTTATCACAAAAATTTTACCATTGCAGAGAAGCCAAGAGTGAGTCAGAGTGAATGACAATGCGATGCTGTCAGATGGCGCTCAGCATTTGGGAAAGGAAAAACAGACTGATGCGCTATTATTATGAAATGGAGTCAAGTGACCTTTTAACTCATCCATATTGCATGTTCATTTTAACTCCAGGCCAATTAAAACTTGCATGAAGAATTAGATCATTGCAGGTATGCCAAAATGGAATAATAGATTTTCCCTAGTACACATACATGTATAATGTGTAATATTTTGGTCAAAAAAGGTAATACAAAAAACAATTAACTCCTTAAAGGTGCTATATTATGCAAAACTAAATTATGATCTTTAAGGCATGTTAGAATGCTGTTATCTCATTAAAACATACCTGGAGTTGTGTTTTGTTTCATCCACACATGTTTGAATAAAACCATGACACAATACATATCTCAATACAATGAGCTTTCTATTTGAGACAATTTGATACGATTCGATACGATATATTTCACATCAATTAGATATGGTTCGATAAAAAATAAAGGTTAAATCGTGGCTGTGATACTATTAGTCTTTGTTAAATCAATTCTTATGCAAAGGTCATATGAAACACACCCATTTTAATCATCAAAACAGTAAAAATGTGTCACATAAACAAGTTTCCTTCCTCTAAACAAGCAACAAAACTGTAGCACAGTTATGAAATAATTTTGTAAAATATACCAAAAAATATTCTTGGTGATATAGCTCCGTACAATATAGCAGCCCACGATCATGATACTATATCGTCACAGTAAATGATACGATCTATCTATATTTCAATATTTCGGCACACCACTAGTTTACATCTCCTCAGCTAAAAGTGCTCCGTTCCCCCTTGTGATGTCATGTAGTGGTATTTTTCAATTAAGCACCTACCTTTTACCTTTAGTTCAGTAGAGCTTGGAAATTCTCAGACTGAAATGATCAAAAATGATTCTAATGAAGGTGTATGGAGCAAAAAAAAAAAAAGCACAATGAAGCACTTCCTATCTAAGGTGAAACAGTGTTTTCATCTTGAGAGAAGAAGTCAGCCTAAATATGTAAGATTTGTGTGTTAAACGTGGAAATGAAGCAAAACACAATTCCAGGTATGTTTTTTGATGAGGAAACAACATTAGACAGTAGTGTAACATGGACTACCGTCTACTGTATAAAGAGTGTTTTTAATCTCATTGTGGTAATGGAAGAGGTATTTAGTATTTAGTCTATTCATTTGTCTCAAAATACAGTTTGATTTGAAATTCTAGCATCGTGACAACACCGACGCATATAAAAACAAGCGAAAACAGTCCAAATACATATTAATTTGTATTAAAAGCCAAAGCAAAGAAATGTGCCTTAAGAGCAGATTTAAATGACTCCAGAGAGCTCTGATATTCGGGGTAAACTGTTCCACTGTTATAGCACTATTAGCTTAATGATACTCAGCATATTAAAACAAATAACACAACAAATTACAATTCTATTCTCATTCACTCCGAGGCCAGAAATGAGACACGAGATGCTAATTATGCAATCTACTGTACCCTATAGACCGTGCGCTTTGGAATGTTCAGGCCATTACATTTGGAGTTCATGTGTGTGATAACCGCTTGTCCCCAGCTGCTGTGTGTGTGCAGGATAAAGAGACAACCATGGCTGCTTTCTGCTCCATATGTGGCCACTAACAGCTGAGACCAACAAAGCCAAAAACACAGGCCAGCATATCCAACCAGTTCTCTACAGGAGCCAGGACATGTCTAATGTGGTATGCTCTGCGGGTTTGCAAACAACAACAAACACATAGTATGTACCTTAAACCCAAATGCAAAAGGTCACATAGGGCACCATTACGGTTGTGTCTGTAATAGGTTTGTTGAATGAGCTAGTTTACAAGTTAACATTTTGATTTATTGTACAACTTGTTAAATAAATGAAATACATGTCAGTAGTGGGTGACATCATAAATTCACTTCGATATCAACCAACACCAGTGCAGTCTAGAATCAGCATTTCCAGTGTTATGTAGCTGTTATTTATCACTTGAAAAACTACAGAACAACTCTGTATAAATAATGAGACTTTCTGGGTCAACTACAACCAGTAAACAGTGTTATTACATCTATTTATATGTCCAGTCAGGATATCGGCTGAACCATTATCTGGAAGCGAAAATATGATCCAGAAAATTATTCATTATCTGCACCAACATGTGATATGTGTGTTATGAAAATTATGTATCTCTTGAAAATAATTAATGATCCATTTGCGAAGCCTGGTGAATTGATGAAATACAGAAAAAGGTTTATTCTTTGTTACAGCAGACAGGGCAGGGCCTAGGCCCGACAGTTTCTCCCCAGTCTCTTCCCTGAGTCTCCTTTCCAGAGTCCCCCCCAACATATCAAAGTAGCATGAGTTGATCAACTTTTACACCTGAAGACAGGTAAAACAACACCTGTATTATATCAATGCATCCCTATTAGCAACGCCTAGCATCATTTATCACAATTTAACAGTACAACTTCTGAAGAGGGCCAAATGACATCTGAGCTTTTACCATAATGATTCATAATTGTTCAGGTTTGCAAACAATAGCAAACATGTAATATGTAACTCAAGACATTGCACACAGCAAAAAAAGTATCTGTTTTACCAGTGAGATCTTTTTTTGCCTAACTAAACATGACTTACTAAAATAGCAATGCTTGTTATATTGTAATGTGGCAGTTTGAAAAATGAAATTCACACTTTTTTTTTTTTAGCATATAATGTAATAAATAGTAATTTTACTGAGACCTTATAACCACAGTTTGTTATGTGTAGTCATTACTGTCTGCAGAAAACCTGCCTGCTGTGAGCTGAGACTGTTTACCTTGGCATTATCTGAAATCTCCTGGACACCTTTACTAGCAGCATCTTTAATGATAGGAGTGATGAGGCCTCGCTCTGTCGCCACGGCGATAGAGATGTGCACTGTGTCGAGTGCGTGTGGTCCGTCCCCCGCCCACGTCACATTCACTTCAGGCATTTCCTAATGGAGAAAACAACATTAAGACAGCTTTAGTTCTGTTAAGTGCTCATTTCTCTTGATGTGTTTAAGAGTCTTTGATGAAACTAAACAAAACTCTGCCTGTCTTTATGTTTACTGAACTTGACAAAGTTTATATCACATAAGACATTAACACTTCTCTCGAACTGTAAAACTTAAAAGCACATTTATGCTGTGCATTCCTCATGTAATTCACTTGCCTCACTATAACGCACGCAAGAACATCTGATCTGACATTGTCCACTTAGTATGGGATTTCTACTGATAAGTCTATGGTATATAGCAGCTACTGTCATGTTTATTATACATTTTTATTTTTTGATCACAACGACCCATCTTAAGTGTTTTGAAGTAATGTAATGTAATGTTTTATTTGAATATACATTACAATGCTATTACTATTAATTAATGAATACTGTGTGCAGCGTCCACAAACATTTAGTACATCAATGTTTGGGGTACACAACAGGTCTCAACGGGACTTGACCAGGAACCATTGGTGCACAATAGAACAGATGTTATCCGATGAATAAGGTTTACTATTTTATATGAAACACAAACACATTTCACAGATTCACAAATAAAGGAGGATTGTGTGAAAATTAATTAAATTTGACTTACTTTGAGTGTAACAGCCGCTGCCTTGATAATGAAGTCATTAACAGACACTTTTATTTGTTCTGGAGAGACAAAAAGCATTAATGAGAACATCTGTTGGTCTAATTTATTTCACCACATTGCAGATTTTTTAAACAAGCAGACATGACATGAACAATCTACCAAACCACCCAATGGGCACTTGTCACTTGCCAGTGCTTGCTGTACTACACTGGTGGGACAGTGAGCCTGGGCCTGGCATGGCTGCCAACTCCAGGCCACAGAGCTGTACCAGACTGTTATGAGTGCCGTGAGCAGGATGATTAATGAGCTAACCGTGAAATCTCTGTGCCCCGGAACAAAGAGGCTCCACAAAAACAACCGCCACAATCCCCAAGAACACACACGCGCTAATAGGTCTGGAATGAGCCGACCCGTCCTCATGGCACAGACATTTAATGTTTGTTTAATAGATGTGCATGTTTGAGACCGGCTGACTAGGTGATAAGAGGCTGATAATGAACAACCGTCAAATAAGATTTAAAAGAGGGCACATTTTCAGAAGGAAAAACTTTAATAAAGGTCAACATTCTCTCCTATCTTAATTGATGGTATTATTGATGGTACTATCTTAATTAATGGTCTACTGTGGATCATTCAAAGCAGCAACATCTCCTTGCCAAAAGTAAAATGTTACATAGGGCACCATACGACTTGGTGGCTTGTCTTTGTTAGTATACAAGTTAACACTTTATTTGCAGAAATTCACTTAGCGATACCTAGAATTATTTAACAGTACAATTTCTGAGTAAAGTTGAGGGCCAAAAAACATTTGAGGTAAAACCATAATAACTGTCCTGTGTTTTAAAATAACCGTTGTGACATCAAGATACCCTTCCTGTTTCTGGTTTATCCCATCAAACCACACACGCAAACTATTGTGAGAAGTGTGGTTAGAAACAGTATCTAAGGAAGTAAAGAGGCAAAGTGTGTTTGTATAAGTAACACTATCGCACTCAAGATACACAAGAGCCCAGTCACGTTTTCAGTCAGATGTCCAAGTTGCACACGAGCTTTTCACAGAGGTTCTGCCTTCTCCATCCATCACACAACATGCCTGCTTCTTAAGGTTCGAGTCGGGTAATTCATTGCACACACTGGTAACTGTGATGAAATGATTACCCACAACAGTACACTGTGTTCAAACCACTACACGGTTAAACAAGGCAGTCAGGGCATAGCTCGAGAATATGGGCACCGAACAAGTCCTGTCATTCATAGTTTTACAGTTTTAGAAAATTATGAATGATGATAGTTCGTAGTTTGTTATTTTATTTGATTTGAAGAGGTTTCTGAAGACTTAAAATGCTATTCATCAGTGGTGGTACGGGTTTTGGAAGCTTGTTCATTGAGGCTGCAATCATGAAATCGACAAATTGTGAGTAAAAAAAAAACACATATTTTGATAATTATTGTTACGTGGACTATACAGACTACTACTATGACTATACATTACATACATTAATACATTTTTATAACAAAGACAGATACATTATTAAAATAAAAATAACAAACATTTTATTATTATATGATTTTCCATAATAATACTTTATTTGTATAATACGTAGAAGTCTTCAGCCACTATATCGCAACTTTTGTTTGGGTAATAAGGTATTTCGAAAGGCCTCGATGTACAAGAGAATTTATCGTTTGACTAAGTGGACAGCCCATAGGTCAGATATGCCAGTTGCTGCTATCAAATCTTTTCTCTGTACATTGTTGCATGTCTAATTTGCACTACTAAATTACAATGGAAACAAGTGCAATCAGAGATAGCAACCTGGTCCCCATGAGGCATCGGTGGGGGCAGTTCATCGCCACAGAAGCAGCTTATGAGGAGCCCAGCCCATATTACATGATCGTTGTATCCACAATGCAATGTGTTTGAATTTATTTATTTGAATTAATTTATTTGGAGGATAAGCCCCTTGAGATGTCTTGCCATCTCATTTTCGAGGGGGTCCTCATAAATACAACAAATGCAATGCAATGTGTCTAGCTGTACAGTGCCCATGAACATTTGTGTGATTTTGGTCACACATGACCAAAATCACACAATCGCTGTTTACTAGCGTGTAACAAAAATGTAATTTTTCATGACTTCCGTATATGTTACTTCTGTGACTATAGATTAGTGTGTTGTGTATCACCAGAAAAAGAAGAAATTATTTTCACTCCAATTAGAATTTTAACGGCATACACTTAAAGAGAAAGGAACTGCTATAATTAGTGATTATCTAGAAAACTATTAATATTTTACTATACAAATGCATAGAATTATAAATAGATACTAATTTTTCTGAGATTTTGAGACCACTCCCGTTGCTCTAGCTCGATCCTTCACGGAGTTATGACCAAAAACGCATATTTGACCTTGGTTACCTTGACCAGTTTCAACTTGTAACATCCGGTGCACCCCGGTTATGTGTGTGCCAACTTGTGTGATGATTGGGTGAATATTTTAGCTGCAGATGGTTCAGAAATTGCCGAAATTGCCTATCCTTTATAATGGCATGACCTTTCAATTGACCAGTGTGACCTCAAATGACCTCAGATCATCATCAAACTTTTTTTGCGGCATCAGGCACGGGGGCTTGACCCACGTACCAAATTTGGTGACAATCAGTCCATAAATTGCGGAATTATCGTGGGTGGACAGACACACACACACACAGACACACAGGGTGAATACAAAACCTGGTCAACCCTTCGGGGACCAGGTAATTACAATGTTTTAAACTCATGTGAACGTTCATAATTATGATAAATAAAGACTACAATAAGTAAGGTTATTCTCTACATATAATCACATGATGGCACCTTTGTATGCCATTGTGCGTGCTGTGGTCTGTGTGCCTTGGTGTGTGTGTGTGTGTGTGTGTGTGTGTGTGTGGTGCTGGTGAGGAAATTGTATTTGCATAGTTATTTTTTACCTTTGGCTAAATCTTTGCGCAGTTGCATGACAGCGGCCACGTCACAGTCCACGGTGGCGTACGCATGGGGGATGGTGGTCTTCGACTGCGTTAGCCTCTGAGCGATCACACGACGCACATTTGTGGCTGGGATTTCTGTGAAAGTGCCCTGAAGAAGAGAAGATTAAACTGTTACAAATATAGTATTGAAAAAAAAATATGTTTAAATCTGCAAATGATAAAATATAAAATAATTAAACAAGTTCAGCAGGCGATAATTATTAAATCTGTCACATATAGAGTTGACATTGGAGGGCCTTTGGTAATTTTATATTGCAAGTTTTCAGACTGTGGACTTGTTTTGTGCAGTAATGTGAGAGCCCCATGGCACATTTTTTTGGATCCTCGAGATCTTTTCTTAACAAAACCGGATTTAACCAAGATGAGAAATGTCTACTTTGTATCCTGTGTGCAGAGTATGGGAACATAATATTCTACAGTCTCTTAACAGCTTTCCAAACAAAGAGCTACAGATCTCGTGGAGTAATCTCACAGTGTTAAACAAAACTATCGTTGGTAAAGTGAGATAAGGTGTGGCAGTTCACCGGTGCTGCGGGCTTCCCTGGCACAGACAGAGGAGGGACGTTGGGTCGGCTGCCGGGGGGAGGAGGAGCCGCAGCTGGAGCTCGGGCGGGGGCGGGAGCGGGGGCTGCGGGACTTGGAACTGAGGGCGGAGGAGCAGCCACAGGTGGAATAAGTTTGGCACCAGGAGAAGCCTTCAAGAGATTTAGAGCATCTCTGAAAATAGAGAGAGAAAAAACACAAACAATATTAAACACAACAGAATTAAATGGGCTTGTTCAAAGTAAATGCCTACTTAACAGTGTGTTAAATTGCCTTTTGACTATAAATATTTTGTATATTGCTGGATGAGTTCAGTGATTACAACACTTTCTTTAAAACTATACTTGTGTGTTTTAGCACTTTCTTAATTTTGACTGCACTGAATACATTGCTACATCAAAACAATGCATTATGTTGATGATACGACATTATATTGTCAAAACTGCGACATTGCTACAGTTTTTCATTATTCACTTAGAGAGAAAAATAACAATATTAAAGACAACAGAATTAAACAAAAAAATCATGGGCTAGTTAAAGTAAATGCATAATAAACTGCATGTTAATTGACTGTTGACTATAAATATTTGGTATATTGCTGAATTAAAACAAATACAAAACAAATAAATGTGTTTTTTTAGCAATTTCGTAATTTTGCCTGCACTGACACAGACAAACTGCTTATTTCCCTCCATTTCTACATCCAAACAATGCATAATGTTGATAATATGACATTATATTGTCAAAACTGCGACATCTCTATAGTGTTTCATAACCAAATTAAAGACAACAGAATTAAACAAAAATTTCATGGGCTAGTTCAAAGTAAATGCACACTAAACTCCATGTTAATTGGCTGTTGACTATAAATATTTGGTATATTGCTGAATTACAACACTTTCTTTAAAAATATACTTACAACAAATAACAAACAAATGTATGTCTTAGTAATTTAGTAATTTTGGCTTCAATCAAATGGACAAATTACTTATTTCCCCCCAGTGCTACATGAAAACAATGCATAATGTTGATAATACAACATTATATTGTCAAAACTGCGACATTGCAACAGTTTTTCATAACAATATTAAAAAGACAACAGAATTAAATAAACAATCATGAGATAACTCAAAGTAAATGCACACTAAACTACATGCTGATTGGCTCTTGACTATAAATATTTGGTATACTGCTGAATTACAACACATTTTAAAAATATACTTATGACAAGTAACAAATACATGTGTTGTTGTTGTTGTTTTTTTTTAGCAATTTCTTAATTTTGGCTGCACAGAAATAGACAAATTGCTTATTTCCCCACATTGCTACATCAAAAAAATACATAATGTTGATCATATGATGTTATATTGTAAAGATTACAACATCTCTCTATTTATTATTGCATTACAAACATGATTTAAGATTTGGAGGTAACTTTGGTTCATCCATCCACTGAAACCATGTCAGCTCTCTCGCTCCTGGGAACACGCAAACCCTCCGGGGCTGGTGTCAGGTGTCAATGAGGGCGCGTAACAACTTAGTTCACACTTTCACCTTATTATTCTCAAACAGGTATTGACCGCCTGGGGTGACATATTGACTTTCCTCTTACCAACATAATAAAAGTGACAGGCAAGACATTAAAAGCTTTAGGAGATTTTTTTGGCAGGCTTATGATAAAATATAAAAGTGTACTCATTTGTTTGAACGTTGCATGATATGGGGTGCCAGGGGAAGGTATCAGATGCGGTTGTGTGAAAGTTGCTAGTTTCAGTTGACTGCACTCAATTCAGCTGTCGTGTCCTGACCAGCTGCCCCTGTCCCTGCTCCTGCCTCTGCTCCTGCTCCTGCTCCTGCCCCTGCTGTGTGAAACAGTCCAGGTGCTGTACATTTCCTCTCATTATTGTACTAGTATGTATTTGTGGTCGAACAACTGGCCCACTTGGAAATCCCCGTTAGTAAACCTGACACTTCCTCAACAACTGTCACTAAATACATTGTGGTCTACGGCATTCTGCATGTGGGGCTTCACTTTAAATGTACAATATATGTGAAAGTTTTAATAATCAGTAAAGAAAAACGAAATAAACATGTTGCCACGGAGTATATTTGTCAAATAACTCGCTAAATTAGTTGAGTGTTGGCCCTTTGTTACTCTGTGGTTACTAGGAAACAGTTATGGAAACCAGACTGCTGTAACATCTGCAGCCCATGTCCAGCCAATTATTAGTCAAAAAACAGTACGACTAGAAGACACTAGACAATCAGTTAATATAATATAATGTTTTAGTGAAATTTGTAGTTAAACCCCTCATATGAACTTTAAAACATCTGTATTTTGCAAAGTCGTCGGCATCAGGGCTTAATCCTTGTTAAATACTGAAATGATCATATCCTAGTTTTATTGCGGCTTTAGTTTATCCTGGCGTGAACACTATTTTATGATATGCTTCATCTATCTGTGACGGTGTGTTTTTCTAAACCTGTGTCAGTTCTGATTCAGTATTTTGCTTTTTTCACGATTATACCAAGACAGGTCCACTCTGAATTTGATTGCCTTTTTTAAAATATGAAAATCTTGTCATTTGCTTTTGCTTTTTGCTTTTCTCATTGCCCATTAAAGCGTAGTGAAGGCCAAGCCAAAGGAAGTGACAAGAATCCTAACGAGCAGAAACTGCAGTCATCACATGCACATGGGTGTGTGCTAAACCAGCCACACTTTACAAAGGCAGCCATTAATAAAGTGGCTTGTGCTGCCACCTAGGACCCACTGTGGCACTTCAAGATGAATAAACATGAGCTTTGCCATTAGAGAAATAGATTAACACGCCTTGCTTTACATCTTGTTCAGTGAGGCTGCAGTTAATGAGGATGCCCAATGGTGAAGAGTTTTGAAAAGAAAAGATAAAATAATTTAATACACGGACTGAAATGATAATATAATCTGAAACTATGCTTTAATAGATTATAACTTTAATTTAGGTAAATGTCAGCTCTCCTGGTTACAGTAGCAGTGGCATCATAGTACAATTAGTAGAGGTTTTCAAAATTTTGAATACTTTTTGTCCCATTGCATTTTTGCTGTTGACAATGAAGCTGTTTCGAGCGCTTCCTGTGGGTTACGTAACACGCCATGATCTCATCCATAGGTTGCGTGACCCATGTTATTCATGCCCAATAAAGACAGGCCCCACTGAAAAGAGCAGAGGGAGGGGTCCGTCCCCTGCTCCACTGTAGCCCACAACAAAAGGAAGGAAACCAAGTCTAATCTGGTCTTTTCTCAAGTAGCTCAACCTATGTGAAACCATTAGGAGCTTTAGTTTACAATGCAGAGTAATATTATCTAGACAGGCTATCAAAAAAATAAACTTAGAAGACTGTTTGAGCGTACATACATGTTTGAAAACATATTGAGAACAGCAGTGTATAGCACTTTGAAAAATATGTTATTCACTAATGGGTAGGGATGCAACAATAACTGAAATATTGTGATATTGTATCATCAAAGAATATTGTGTATCGAATTATAAGTCTCTTTGCTTAAATTAAGAGTTATGGTGCAGCAATAGCTAAAAAAAGACAGAGGGAACTACACAGATCATGATCCTTTGCTCCATTTCAGTGTAGACTACAAAACGAAATAACAGTTCTAAGCACTTTGAAATCTTAGCTTTTTGGATTAAGTCTTGTCAAGGCATTTTAAGAGGAAAAAATAGCGTATTGACAGTTTTAGCTGTTTAGCCTCCACAAAATATCACAATAAATATCGTACTGTGAGATGTATATTGTAAAAATATCGCAAAGATTTGGATATTGTTACATCCCTAATCGTGAGCCTCCCCATCATATCGTGAGCTTTCCCACGATATCGCAATAAATATCTAAGTATTACACAATACCTAAGCATTGTGAGTTTCATACATCATGACATTACACCCCTACTAATGAATGAGAATAACCTAAAATTAACAAAAATATACTGAGTTGTGCAGAAAAGTCCAAGAGTCCAATTTCCCCATAACACTTTAATCCTAGACCATCCATGCCCTTTGAGCAAGAATTCCACTTAAATTTAATTGAAGTCATTGTCCACCACAGACAAGAGATGTTAAATTGCATTACCTTCTCTTTTGTTTCAGAGCTCATGCAGTAATTGTGGTACGAGTGGTTACAGAATATAACACTTAAAAAAAAAAAAAGATTAAATTAAAGATTTAAGTAAAAAGGGGCACTTCATAAGCCACATTGAGTATCTCTCCCTTCTCCCTGCGGTACAAGGTCTGTTACTATGGACACCAGTGGGTCCTGGAGACTGGGTTGCCATGGAGACTGAAGTTGCCTAATGAGATTCCCCAGCAGGGTGTGAGCTGGGTAACGAGAGCATTCAATCAGCTCTCTCCTGACAGCAGGTAGCTCTGTGAGTGTGTGCGCAGCTAACAGCTTCTTTAGTGTGAACTCATGATATAACAAGATTAAAGTGTCTAACCGCTAACTCACTCTTTCACTTACCCAAACCCTTCTGCCATTTCTGTGCCTGTATGTGCCTATCATCACAGACACACCGCCGCGGCAGCTCCGTGTGTGCGTGTGTGTGTATGTGTATGTGCTCACATGCTAACAGGTGCCTCCTGTAGATAGGCTAATGTACTGTTTGTGTAAACAAATTATAGAGGACTGCAGAGGACGATTCATTATAATCAAGAGCCCGTCCCACACAGCATTTTATGTATAATGTGTTCATTTTGATTTTCTGGCACATAAATCATTAATTAAATTGAGTTGTGGGTGTTAATTCTGTTCCTCATAATCTGGAGCAAAGCCACTTCTCTAATTGACAGTGGCTTTTAAATAATGAATCACAATACATCACTAATACATGGTAATAAGTATTTCTCTACAGGTTAACTTTTGACATTTCATAAATAATTGATTGAGATTTCAATTATTCATTTATAAATATAATTATAATCATATAATAGTGTAATTCAGAAATACACACACAAAACAAAAAAACCCAAAACTCGATCATTAATTAACATAGCAACCTCTCTGTAGAAGCAATTTTTTTTCTTTTTTTTTTAAAGTAACTAAAGTTTGAAGGGTTGACATACTGTATATCTGTTTTTTACATTGCTGTAGTTTTCTTGCACTTTTGTCTCTTTAATATTCTGTATTTGTGTAAAGCACATGGTTGTTTTTAAAGCATCTATATATAAATCTACACTGATCCCTGAAACAAACACATCTAATGGAGCAGAGCAAAGCGCTGAGTGACATTTTCAGATTTTATAAACACGCACTGTAATAGCTCTAACGTCTGTACATTACTACCTGATGCAACATAAACAGAGATGATTTGCTTTGATTTGGAGCTCATGTCACACTGTGTTCTTTAGGGTAGGATCATAACAGCCTGGAGGTAGCCACACAGCATGATACAAGAAAAGACATCACTGACATCACCACCACAAGGGCTTTAAACCACCAGGGGTTAACTACACTCAGTGCAGGTCCGCTGTGGTAGGCAAGCAAGCTGTGTGAAGTACTATGTCAATCCTATGTCTCATGTTGTTTTTATCAATGATATTCCCATGATTCATTGACATTCTGTATGGAGACAAACATAAACACGTGTGTGTGCGTGAGAGTGAGTGTGAGTGTAGAGCCTTACTCCTTGGTAATGAGTCCTCTTGGTCCAGTGGCTGTGGCCAGTTTTGGGTCGAGCCCATGGGAGTCCAGGATGTGTCTTGCTGCCGGACTGAGACGCAAGCTACAGAAACCAACACAATACATTTGAAATTATGACAGTGTAGTAGGGATGTATCAATAACTGAAATACTGTGATACTGTATCGTCAAAAGTCTCACAATAGTATCGTGGGCTGTCACAATATATCAAATTACAAAATCCTTTGTTAAATGCATAGTTTTACAGTAGCAAAATCTTATAAACATATGGAACTACATCTCCCATGATTCATTTCAGTACAGACAATATGAAGAGATATGTTTTTTACTTAAATTCTTGGGATGATGATGGAAATAATTCACACCAACATCTTGTCAAGGTATTTTAAAATCAGAAAAGTGTTATATGAGCCCCTTCAAAATATTGCAATAAATATTGTAGCATGAGATGCATATCGTGATAATATCATACAGAAAGATTTGGATATTGTTACCTTCTTACAGTCTAGTAATTGTGAATGCATCCCAAACGGGCAAAACATTATCAGAAATATCAGATATACTACTAAGGTCCTATATTACGCAAATTTGATTCTTGTGAGATTTAAGCCATGTTATAATGTTACCTCGTCAAAAACATACCTAACATAAGAGTTGTGTTTTTTTTTCATTCACACATGTTTGAGTAACCCTTTATTATTTGTCTGTCTCCATCTCTAAAGTACAAAATACTCTGTTCCACCTTGTGATGTCATGTAGTGGCAGTTTTCAAGTTAAGTTTTGTCTTGCGTTCAGTAGAGATTCCAGGGCTGAAATTATCCAAATGAATCTAGTGAAGGTGATTGTAGTGAGTTTAAAAACACAGTGGAGCACTTCCTGTATTGCCACATGACATCACAAGGTGGAACAGAGTGTTTTCCTTTTGAGAGCCTAAATATACAGGGTTTGTGTGTTTAACATGTGAATGAAACGAAACACAACTCCAGGTTTGTGATGAGGAAACAACTTTAAAACAGACCAGAAAATAGTGTAATATGGATTCTCTAATGTCCAGACAGAAAAACAGTATCTTTCTTCTGCTGAACTGATCTTACACCAAAAATGACAAAAAAAAAGAGACTTTGTATGTTTTTGTTTGTTGAGATTGACATATAACGATGCACATTCTGTGGCTGTCACCTTTAATTGTTTCTGACGTGATGCATGTCGTGTTTACCACAGGGCACGCGATCAATGTAAATGTCAGAGCGTGTATTGACGTGCTGCTCAGGCTCATTCCCTGTGTGTGTGAAATCTTCCATAACTCAGGCCTGATGCTCTACCTCAAGTGTCAGGAGGATGAAGCCACGGCAGAAACCTCAAGAAGTCTGGACTCAGCACTAAATATTTACATAACAAACAGGTCATACATGTTGTTACGGAATCCTCTTCACCTTTGCATTTATTGTGTCAATAAAGGTGTATATCTGACATGGCAAAATGTGATGCTGTTGCGTTCCAAATAGAAGTGAGCACGGGGGAAGCTAAGGCTGCTCGATTATGGAAAAAAAAACATTATCACGATTATTTTAGTCAATATTGAAATCACGATTATTCAAACGATTATTTTTTTGTTACACAATGCATTTATTCAGTATTTGTCTCTCAAAAAAAACAGTGTTAGTGATAATTTATGCAAAACTTTCAAATTGAAAATAAATATAGCCTACAAATATGTACCACCTTAGAGCAGTTTTGCGATGTATAAAACATAAAATTAATAAAATACACTTTGAACATGTAATAAGGTATAGACAAATATAAATGTATCCTAAATAAATAAATATATCCAGCTGTTCTATATACATAAAAAAAAAAAATAAAATAAAAAATAAATAAATATACTGTATTTTTCAGACTATAAGTTGCACTTTTTTTCATGGGTTGGGTGGTCCTGCGACTTTTACTCAGGTGCGACTTATAAATTAAAATTTTCAGACTGACAGCCACGAGAGGGCGCTCCAAGCTCATGTGTCAGTAGCTAGTACTCCTATTACGCCTGTACCACTGTCACTTCACACTCCATTGTGCATGCCTCCTGTAGAAATAGCCGCTGTCTCGCTGCAAATAGTGAAATATTCAGTTGAAAATGGTAATCGAGCAGAAAGAAAGTTTGGAGTGAGCGAGAAACTTGTGACTGACTGGCGGAAAGGGGGGATGGAGAATGCAGCTTCATGGCAACCAGGAGGGTGCGCCATGCAAATTTCCTGGAAGTCACTGGGTGGATCGACAAAGCCTGGACTTCAATGACAATCGAAACCATCCTGTCGGGATTCGGACAGGCTGGAATAATTCGACCTGGAATTGATGCCGAGTCTGACGACCGCTCTGTTTACCTCATGGACCTATGGTTTATCTCCGGAGGTCGTGCAGAAGTGACACTGAGACCTGAGATCGTGAGTTTGGTAAACTTATGTTATGTTATGTTTATGCTATAATTATCTGAATAACTGTTAATATGTTAAATTAACCTGTTGTTCTCTATTCTGTTGTTGTTACTGTAACTTGCCTTTCAAGATGAAATGTTGGTTCCTGGTCTCTGATTTTACAAAATACATTTCCCCAAAAAGTGCATCTTATTTTTTGGCTGGCTGCATTTTTTGGCTGGTGCGACTTATACTCTGGAGCGACTTATAGTCTGGAAAATACAGCACTTATTTATATAAAAAATATGCCAAAATAAACTTTGCTAAGCTTTAAATTGTTTCAACTCGATTATATGAGTTTGGAAATAGTTTGACACACAAATCAAAATTGCGATCAAAATTCAATTATTTGCACAGCATTAGGGGAAGTTTCTGGCTCCAATGACTTTATGTTGAAAAATTGTCACACATCTCTCTCTAACTGTTGCTTTGCTTTTAAAATGATCATATTAACTCGCTCTACATGATCCTGATGTTTTTATTTTGCTATTTTGTACATGAATAAATTCCTATTCCTAATATGAAACTCAGCTCCAAATTCGCTCCCTTAGTCCACTTCTTTGTACAGTACATGGTTGTAGTACGAAGCCGACAAAAATCTATCTGTAAAATTTTGAATATCATGCTTATATTATAATTAGCTAACAGCATAATTTATTTTCCTACATACTGTCAATCATATTTAATTGTCAAAGTTCTTTAGCATGTAGCCTGTGTATTCATTTTGACATGTTTTATGGTACATTATTTTTGCTATCTGGCAGCCATTAGTCTTTGGGTCAATGGTGCATTTCATGGTCCAATTTTTTTCACTGAACAGACTGCAGTTGTACATCCATCTGCCAACCTGCTGTCAATACTTAAAGATTTTAAAAAGTACATTCCACTAAATATTAGATGAAAGAAAAACAATACAATTATTATGATGAACACACATTAGCACAGTAGATGTAGTTGTAACTTACGGTCCAGACGTGTGTTTTGGAGTGGGGGGTTGTGTTGGTGCGGTTGCCGTGGTTTCTGGGGCAGGGGCAGCTTCAGATGGCGCAGCAGCTTCAGGAGGGGGCATCTCCACCTGCTTCCAGTCCTGACCCTCCTCCACCATGAGGGCGATGAGAGTGCCCAGTCTCACGCCCCGACTGCCCTCCTCCATCTGAGAGAAACAAGGCACCAACATGATTTAGGATGTAACTTAAAACACTTAAAAGGTACTATAATATGCTATAGTACGCTTCTGATCTCCAATATAATGTTGTTTCCTCATCAAAAACATACCAGGAGTTCTGTTTTGCTTCGTTCACACACACACGTTTAACACACAAACCCTGCATATTTAGGGTGACTTCTTCTCTCAAACAGATAAACGCTTTGTTCCACCTAGTAATGTCAAGTGGTACTACAGAAATCGCTCCACTGTGTTTTTAAACTCCACCTTCACTAGAATTATGTAGATAGTCTCTACCAAAAGGTAAAAGGTGGCATTTTTATTTTTTCTATTTTGTCTGTAAATCAATTCCTATTCCTAATACTACTGTAGGGGTGTACATGTATTTGTGCCAAACCGGGAAGTTCGGTTCGGTGCAGGGCTGTGTATGAGTGAGTTTGCACAATTTGTGTATGTATATGTTCTTTAATATTCACAAGGAACCCGTCCATGATTGGGATGGCAGTGTTTCCAGTAGTGCTTTATAGTTAGACCAGCCGCCTTGACAACAATTGTCCCTTGTCTTGACTACATCCCTCCGAACCACTTGAATCCTTGCAGACTTACGGTCATCATGCCCTGGTCTTCACTTTCGCCTTTCATCGGCATGTAATGACAAGTTGTTTTTTTTTCGGCCAAAAATATGAAGATTGAGTACAAGTTAATGCTGGAACTGTTAGTGTTGCATTTTACTTTTTGAAAAGTTTTGTTTACTGTTTACAAGGAATACATAAAAAAATAAAATAAATAATAAAAAAAAATCATACATTTGTTGCTTATTTGAGAATATTTTATTTAACTTATTAGTAATATCAAACAGCACTTTGCATTTATTTTATTTTCCCGTTTGTATAATGTTAAAACAAATTGTTGGTTTAATAAACACACAAAAAATCAAAAAAATAAGCAAATGGTGTTGCATTTTGTTCCCTGTACAAAAAATGAACCGAACCGTGACCTCAAAACTGAGGTACGTACCAAACCGTGACTTTTGTGTAAAGTTACACCTGTACCTAATACGAAACTCTGCTCCAAATTTGCCTCTATAACTGCTTCATTTAATTTTTTTTCAATTGACTGGAGCTGTACACTATGGATGACAACACGTTTCCTTGGTTCACTTCTTTATACTGTCTATGCTTCAACAACACAAAGACATGAGTAGGGACAAAACTGCTATTTGCTACAGGTACTTTCTTTATAGCCTCTCTTGCCATTACATTTTATGACGCTGTTCAACCTGTAGTACCACAATGCTCTTACAGTCCACATTTTTCAAACACTAAAAAGGCTCTATTAATCTTACGGGACCCTAAACCCATTCAATTTCCATCACTTCATTACAAACCCTATTGCTCTGGTCCCTGACAAACCAGGCAGAAGCACAACTGTGAAGGTAGAGGGCTCCTGGAGTACGCTGGATGTATTTTCATGCTGTTGATAGCTGTCAGCCATTGATTCACTATCTTGTTACTTTGGAAAGCCAAATCCACTGCCAGTGCTCCCTTCTCCCAGAGCAAGGTGTTGTTCCTCACTCTGTATTGATCAGAGTAAATGAAAGGCCAGTCTCCGTGCACTGGGACGGTTTGCTTAATTTCATCTCTTGTGAAAAAGGGATCGACACAGAACTACTTCTCAAAAAGGTCTTGGCTAGACGAGAAATTTGAAAATGAGAAACAAATCACAAGAGAAGATAGAAGGTGGAGCAACAGCAAAAATCAATGCATTTATAACCGCTGGCATTTAGTTCCACAATATATTTAAACAAGTGTGTACTTTTGGTCCAGGCCGTAATTAAATATTAAATTGGCAATTATAAGTTTTAGTGTTGTTAAAGGTGAAAAATGTATTTCAAATCCCAATTGTATCTGGCATTTTCAACAAATCACATCACTGAATTGTTCTACTATATTACCACAATGTCTGGAAAATAAATTATTACAGAGATTAACATACAAAAAAACAGATCATGGTAATTATATTCACACAAGACCTAAGCCCCATGAAACAGTAAACTAAGCACCACCCCCTCAATAAAAAATAAGCACAGATATGAACTGGATTGGAAACAAGAGTGAGATTAGAACACCTGTGCTCACCAGTGGAAAGACCCAGATTTACTGAGTTATTATTAGAGCCACTTGAAATAACAGAACTATGAGCAAGTAACATACAGTAGGTTTGTCAAAATTATCAAAAATCTGATACTAATCAATACTAGAACTAGTATTAATACTAAAAAAGTCACATTCTATCAGAATTTAAACACTTGGATGTGATACAGACTTAACATGAATGTTCCAGACCTTATTACAGTAAAAGGTGTGAGGCTCAGTCACATCTACATCAAATGCAACATAAGTTTGAGCTCTCCTGCTTTAGAATGAACTTTAACTTATTTTCTTCCATGGGGCCACATGAGAAACAGAAAATATTGTGGAGGGCCGGGCCAAAATGCTTAACTCAATTCTGCATAATATTAATGGTATTTTTTAATTAAAAAATGCAGCAAATAGCATTTGACAAGCTGGTAAGACTGGTAAGAGTTTATGTTATGACTAAGCAGTGATATAAAAGAATGAGAACTTTGCACATTAATTGAGATGCGTGAATTGGAGGAGAGGGAGCAGCCCAAGACTATAATGAAAAATCCCACACATTGTCTTACTTGCAAATAGTGAGATTTACTTGGATAAACCGTACAATGTTTCAGCACTAGGTCGTTTACCGGATGAAGGCCTAGTGTTGAAACATTGCATGGTTTGTCCTAATACATCTCACAATTAGCAAGTAAGAAGGTGTGCGGGATTTTTCTCCATGACTAAGCAATGAAAAGGAGAGATTGCCCTTCAAAAAAAAATTAAAACACCTCTAAAATAAAAGCAATGTAGCTTTAGTCCCTAAGATTAGATCGTAAGATTATAAAATATGTTTATTTTGTAATTTCAAATTAGATTAAATGGGCCACTCAGTATGTGGCCTGGGAGCTTTACAATGCCCAGGTCTGACATAGACTATACGCCCATGGACCACTATAGACCCTACCTGGACGACTGAGGGATTACACACATATAACACCGGATGGTAAGAAGAATGATGTAATGTTGAAAGTCTGTTGCCTAGATAGTGTTTTTTTTTTTTTTCCTCCTCATTGCGTTCAAAGTCAGTACTGAATATCAAGTCCATTCCTTTGTAATGAAGCAGTATTGAGTGTCAAATTTTAGTCATGACAGCATTAACCTATAGCTGCACGCTTACAGCTATAATTCTAGTGCCTCTCGTTCATTCCCTGCTTGTCTGCGAAGAGGTGATGAATGAGAGTTGAAATAATACTTAATTAGAATTACAGCAGCATTATGAGAAAAGCAACTCTGATGTAATGTGATGTACTGTTAAGCAATACAGCTAATGTAAAAGGAGCAATGCAAAGTCTCATTAATAAACTCTCCTGGAAATATAGACCTGCTGCTTTGGCATTTAAAGGACTAGACCTTTACGAAAATAAGAGTTTACTTTTTATCTTTATGGTGATAAATATTAATATGGCATATAGAGAAGCGTATTTATCAGTGTTATTTAAGACCCCTCAGCTTCAAAAATGGTAATCACGCGCAAATTACTAGACTCATTCCATATGCCATATTTTACTAGAGATATGCAAATAACTTGTTTATTTACACTTGTAGAGATGTTCTAAAGTTGGGCATGACTAGAATGCACAGTAGATGAATACCTTTGAGAGATGAGCTCAACACTGCCATCAAATGGTCATGGGACAAAATCGAAGAACTGGACTGCATTAATCCTAAATGTGTGCTCAAGTAAAAATAAAAGGTTAACACCACGGGCTGCAGTAACATAATAATAACAATAATTTTATTTAGTAGTCAAACAGTCATTTCTATTCTACAGGGACTTTCTAAATAGAGAAGATCTACAAATAAAATGCATCTAAACTTGTTACAATTTCTTTTTGGACATTTAATTTAAAAGACTTCAAAGATGCCTCCTCAAAAACACAGCTGGAGTTGTGTTTTTTTTTTTTCATTCTCACACATTTGAGTAATTCTGCATTATAATCTGTCTGCATCTCCAAAGCTCAAAATGCTCTGTTCCACCTTGTGATGTCATGTACTGATAGTTTTCATGCAATCTTTAACCTTTAGTTCAGCAGAGATTGTCAATTCCAGGGCTCAGATCAAAATGACCAAATGATTCAGGGGAAGGTGTATGGAGTTTAAAAAACACAGTGGAGCACTTTCTGTTTTACCACTTTCTGTTTTACCACATGGCAGAAGTGCCATGTGTGTTATCTGTTTGCAGTGGTGTAGTGGTGATTTTTTAAGTGGGGGGTACGTGATTCATGACATCATGAATCCCTCCCACCTACCCCATATAGATGTTGGTTTATTAACAAAAATCTTACTTTCAGTACAAACATAAAAGGCGCAAATAAGATTTTATGTTTTTTTTACTCAAAATGATGCCATAAACCCATTCATAATCACCTACAGAACATAAATCTGTTCTGTGCCCAGGACTGAACCAGGATGAAACCAGGAGTAAACCAGTTCTAAACCAGGACTAAACCAAGACTGAACCAGGACTAAAACAGGATTGAACCAGGTCTAAACCAGGTCTAATCTTGGACTTGAGAGAGAGAGAGTGAGAACCTGTTTTAGTCTTGTTTTAGTCCTGGTTTAGTCCTATTTTTAGTTCTGGTTCAAGTTCTGGTTCAAGTCCTGGTTCAAGTCCTGGTTCAAGTCCTGGTTCAAGTCCTGGTTCAAGTCCTGGTTCAAGTCCTGGTTCAAGTCCTGTTTTAGACTTGCGGTTCAGTCCTGGTCCCCTCATGTCTCAGGTCACTATAGAACAGTCCTGCAGATATCATGAGCCTATGCAGCTTGTTTTCACCATTGTCAGTAGCTCCAGTTTGACATTTAAGTTCTAGC